AGACAAACCCGTAACAATATGCGTTTTGTACTGCTGTTACACAGCACAAAACGCATAAAAATCATTATCGTATGCTCTCAACAACGGAAGTATTTAGAACGCGAAAAACTTTTCCCAACAAATTTACAAGTAGAAAAATCTCACAAGTGATTTGTACTGAAGGGATTCTGGGCTAAATACACTGAATTTACACAATAATATTTTGAAACAGCAAAAAAAAAAATCAAATTTCTTCTCCGCCATAATCGGGTCGTGTGAAATACGCCGCTGCCTGAAATCCATTTAACTTGGTCTTCTTCGTCGTATTTTGCAACATACGTAATATGATGCTGGTCCTTTATATTAAACTATCGTTCAATATTGAATCAGTAATCTTAACAAAGACACTCTACACCTGTACTAAAAGACATTTGTAGAACTACTACAAAGTATGGATGTAGTACACTGATCTGCAACATGCAACATGAGGCCCGAGTCCGATTACAGACAATATCAAAATATACTAAGCGCGGAAACAATAAAACTCAAGATGGAACGGCCTGGTGTAACCGCGGGTAGAGCTTGAAAATATTTAACTAAAGTAACATGCTCCTTTTAACATGTTGAAATGGGGCACTGTACTGATGATTCTCACCCTATTCCGCACGATTCTGCCGTTTATGTTTACAGCTCAGGGATGAAACACAGACAGGACACCAGCTCAATGTACATACAAGCCTGCCTTACTTGGCAGATCTAAATGGCACTTCCAGTTTTTCCTTAATTGTCAAAATTCGATTGCGTCCCTCTCCGGGGTGAGTCGACAGTGCCAACCAAACTATGTATATTAACACATAGAAAACTTCTGGCCCTCGTCCTCTTAAAGTCTCTTAGTCAGGGATAATCATTGTTTGCATCTTCAAAATTTCTGAAACAAAATCAATAAAGCAGCGGTTTATTACAGCACAGAAGCCAGCAGCGTTTGTCAGTGAAGTATACAGGCTGGCAGGGTAATTGTTAAACGGCCATAATTTAAAAGCTTCTAAGAGGACGAAGATGAATTCAGTCCTCTCCGGATCATATTTTTACATAAAAAATTCGGTTGGCGAAAGCAGCCGATTATATAAAGGTTGCGATTTTGTAAAAAGTAACCTGGCACACCAGTATGAAGCCACTCAAGCACATGAGAGTGGCATTATTCTAGTGGCTTCTACGAATATACCAAATGCTCGATGAGTATGAACTGAAGGCTAAGCAGGACAATGCAGGTTCGCACTATAGCTCAATTCCTGTCTGACTGCGTCACAAAAATATCGAGGGTTCCAAAACCGACAATTCGGGAGATCATAATGGAACAAACATAGGTCCGAAAAACTGACCTTTGTTTGGACGTTTTCCAACTTTGGGCAATTGGTGATACGATGGCCTAAGCCTGAGCAATAGGCACATCCTTTATCATCGGCGTTTGTCGAATCATCTGACTGTGCCACTTCTGCGCCACCCATATCACGCAAGAATAGCGGTAATTCCTGGCCAGCTTCTAACATCAAAGCTCGCAAATCTTGTAGCACTGACATATCTAAACAATTAATGGAGGATTGAATACAAATATTTTGCAATTAAGGCCAATTTTTATGCATTTTGTGCTCTGTAACAGCTGCACAACACGCATATTATCAAGTCTCTGTCTGTGCGTGTTTGCATGCATGCGTGTGTGTGTGTGTGTGTGTGTGTGTGTGTATGTGTGTGTGTGTGTGTGTGTGTCCAAATGTCTTTTGTCCCAAACTTTCAACCCGGGAACCACAAAGTTATTAAATTGAAATTTTAGAAAAATGTTCCTCGCCCACGTACGATCGCGCAAATTTAAATTCAACCTTCATGCATGCCGAAAGTTTTGGTGAGAAGTTTTGACGAAAGTTTTGGCGCTTTGTTTAATTTTATAAGTGAACTTTTTTTGGCTTTATACCTAACCCCCACTTTTTCCAATGTTTTTGGACATAAAAAACTTAGAAAATAGCATGCAAACTTTAGGTCATTAATCCGAGACAGTCAGTAGAAAATTCAATTCTTACAATATACCTGGGCCTCGAATCGCTTTCAAAATGTCTTCAGCAGCCTTCCTGCGATGATAAAAAGAAAGGCAGAAAATAAGCGGAGGAGAAGGGGAAGGAAGGGCGGAGGAGAGAGGGAGAAGGGGAAAAAACTAACTTTTAAACCACATAAAAGTCCTCAACTATTTCACTCCTTATAAAGAACGAAGGCATTTGGAAGTAATCCTCGAAGTGGCGTTCGCCAAAACTTTCCTCTGGGAAAACTGTCAATGAATCCCCTCTTCCTTGGAAAAAGAAGCTGATGGTACGTTTGATTCCCTGGCATAGCACCAAAAATTACTATGAAAACAAATGAACGAGACGTAGCTATTCTATAAGTGTTGTCGAATCGCTGTTCCCCTTTTGAAGCGATGAATAAAAAACCCTCAGATCACATAAAAATACACGACTGACCTGCTCTCCGATTTATAAATGTTGTTGCCATGCCTTTTCTTCCAGAACGTCCAGTACGCCCGATACGATGAACTAAACAATTTCAGATTCCTTAGAGTATAACCACAAAGACTGAACTAGCCACCTTCCCAGATCAAATCAATTTCGAAAGCGAAAAGCTTCTAATTTCGGATCCACACAAGCCCCTGAATTTACACTAGTTGATCAACAGAACGTGTAACAAAATTATGCTGAACGACGGAAAAATGCGGGCAAGGAGGAAGGAATGAGGGCCCGAAAATAAGGAATAAAGTAAAAAAAAAATACCATAATTTTCGATATCTTCTGGCATATCGTAATTGATAACGTGACGAATATTTTCAAAATCTAAACCCTTCGAAGCAACATCAGTGGCCACCAATACGTCTTTTTCACCGCGTCTGAATGCATCCACTCCCGTATGACGATCTCTCTGATCTGCAATTTTTATCCAAAAAATGTGTTTTCATTTTAAATTTTTCTAACAAAATAAAATTTACAACTTTTTTTTGACAAGTAGGGCTAGGTGAATTGACTGCCGCTGCCCGGACAATTATTAAGCTATAATTCTTTCGAAAGCACAACAAACTTGGATCTCCCCGAAGGTCTGACTACAGCAGGATGCAGCGCCAGCCGAAGCAAATGAAGAAATTGTCACCGTAGAGCTACAGAAACAGAGTATGAGTTAACAGTTGCTCCAACAGCACCAGCAGTAGCATCCAACTTCAAAAGCTAAGAAAAGTCATTCCAAACAGGAATGTCAAGGTTGTGGTAGATGAGGGGTGGTAATTTGCGGCCATAGGTAGACCGAAGAATAACAAAAAAGGTAGAGGACTGTAAAAACCGAAGGAACAGCTCAGCTGAATTCCATTCAGAGCTGGAGGAACAGAATTTAATAAAGAATGGTGGCAAGGAAGACAGTTGGGCTGTTGATGTGGAACAAACCAGTTAACAGATAAAATGGTCATTTTTAGGGTATATGTGTGGTGATCTCTCAGTGTTTCATCCCTTAGCTGTAAACACAGACAGTGCGAGATCTCCATGGCCCCTTCTTCCCTTTCTATTTAAAAAGCCAAGAAAACTTTGTTAATAAAGCAATGCAGGTTGGTTGCTGTGCTGCTCGTCGCTGATTTGCGAAGCGAAATTTAAGTTCAGAAACCTTTTACTGTATAATTCTAGGAGAATCATTCATCTGTTCTAGCTAAAACTAATACTCCCAGCAGCAACAATAAGATAACATCATCTTGCTGAAATCTCTCTGGTTTATTCTACTTGAAACATATTTTTTTAAGCTAAAGGCCAGTGTTTAGTTTTATCGTAGCCTATGCTTCCACCCCCGCGAATCCCCGAATTTGCTGAAGCAGTACTACCACATTCTGTACCAACCAACGACAAAATTATGAGTTCATGAACTGTGTTCAACACAACTGAAGCCCACCTTTACCGCCATGAAGCGAAGCCACATCCACTCCTTTCACTAATAAATATTCATATATATTATCCACATCGCTTTTTTTCTCCGCAAAAATCAGAACTCTAAAAAATCGATGTTTTTTCAAAAAAAAAAA